ATATATAACAATAACTAAATGTATATAATTATATATATAAAGAGATGTCAAAATGCAAGTTTGTAAAAAGAAAGTAGCAATTTAACGTACAGGTTGAATCACTAGTTCCTCTAATTTCACTATCTCTCAAATGATTGTTGCTGTAATACACAGAGACATAGATGCAAGAAAACTGACAGACTGACAATTATATATATCGTGAGCGGTGGTCCGTCCTTATTATGACAGTATTTATTATTCATCAGATGGCGCTGCTGCTGTCGTCAGGGTGAGTGCGTGACTCAGCAGGTGAAGTTATTGCCGTTTACCCCAACAGTCCAGGATGTTGAGTCACAACAAAAAATATATATATATATATATATACTCTATATATATATTCAGTAGGCCATTTTATTTGAACTTTTAAGCTCAAAGACTCATGAACAACTTGTGTAATCCCTGTTGCAGAGTAACACTTGCTGGGCTACCTACGTAGCATAAATTTACCGTGACATCAAACTGACAAACGTTACCACTAATGATACTTGAGATGAATCCTCAGTGTGAGCAGATAGCACGATCCTCACTGCAAGATCCTCATTGCCGACGGCTTTTATAATGTCACACAATCTTGGATTTAAATGTACAGAAAAATAGTTACGGAAAAATGTGAAAAAAATGAACGTGGAAATATATAATGATGTTGAATGTACTCACTTATTGTGCCATACTGTGATGTGTACTGCAGATTCTTTTTTTAAAGTAACGTGTTAAAAATTCTTACGGTTGGGGGAGCTGGAGGGGTGGTGTTTTGTATTCATGTTTGTTGCTATCATTAGCATGTTCTTCCCTCCATTTTTCATGCCTGCTCATGGTCTTTTTTAGCAGACAAAAAGCTTATATCACTACGTGCAGCACGCTGGCTATGGCCACATTTGAAATACGCTGGTCGAGAGCTGATAATTTTTGAGATAGCACGCTGGCTATGGCCACATTTGAAATTGCGTTGGTCGAGAGCTGATGACTATTGAGATTAGTATTTCTTAGTATTGAACTTGGCCCTCCCTTCCCTTGGCCTCCAGATTACGTTTTTTTTTTCCTCACAAGAAACTAAGGCAACTCTTGATTAGTATTACCTGCATGCAAGTATGGAAGGGTATTGGGCAATGTGATAAGGACGCAGGAACACATTGCCTGTTAGCTCGCCAATGAAAGCCGCAAAAACATACGTAAGTGCTGCTAGTAGCACCACCAACTGCTAACCTGTGCTAAAAACAATTCTATTTCGAAGCTATTTACTTCTAACCAGTGTGCTGAAATGCTAAGTTAGGAGTCACATGAAACAGGGGCTCTGGGCCAAACTCTGGGCTAATCCAAGCTAACCTTGCTAACCCTTGCGGCATTTACTTCTCACATCGAAAAGTGGGTTTTTGTTGAACGGGACCAAATGCTGATTCCCCCGGTTTTTGATAGAGAAGTACTGTAATCCTGGCTTTTGCGATTGTTTTTATTCCTCCTGTTTGCATAGATGATGTTACTGCCATTTGTTCAGTTGTGTTTGTTTTATATCGGACTGAGCATGTGCTGGTGTAGTTTATTTTGGGGTGGTTGTGTGACATACCGAGACCAACTAAGACACAGAGCAAATGTGGGCAGACTTTTTGAGTCAGTCAGTCAGTAAATGCTAAAATGCTTTCAGCCTTGTCTACGCCATCTATTGGGGAAATGCAGACATTGCAGGGGAAAGGCAGAAATCATGAAAATAGAAATGTAATTTGGAAAGGTTTGGTGGACCAGATTGAAAGGCCAAACTATGTATGCTATCTTGAGCTCATGCCAGTAAATCTGCCTTTACGATGTAAATCTTACGAAAACATTTTTTTTTAATTGGAAATATTAACTACCCCCTTGAATCTACAATGAATGGTAACAAGTAAAAACAAAATATGAATGTATGTATATAATATCTTACCTTTTCTATTTTTTATTATGAAAACGTGTACAAAGCTTTCTAGAGATAACAGAGTATAAGAAAATTTATATATTTGTGTATAAAAATCTTATTTTTAATAAATAATATATATATATATATATATATATATATATATACATACATATATACATATATATATATATATGTATATACCATATAGTCAATTATATGTGTGTAAGTAATGTGAATAAGTCGTGAAGCTCATTGTGGCTATAAAAAAATGTCAAATATTGTTGGAGGTCCAGCCATGTTGTGTTTTTCTTTTTTTTTTTAATAAAAATTGTTTTAAGTGGTCTATTGGTGTGTTTGTTCTATTAGTTTTACAAAGGCTGATATGTCAAAAAAATATTACTTTACAAAAATAGTAATTGAGTACTTTCTTTCCATAAAAGTAATTGAAGACAAAATATACTAATGTATTAAAGAATGAAAGCGTAACCAAGATTATTATAGTGTATTTTTTTTTTGTTTTAATTAAAAAAAATATTTTTTTTCTTTACATAGTGAAAATTTTCGATTTTGAGTTAATTTATTTATTTTTGGATATATTTGATTTTTTTTTTTAGGTTTAACTTAATGGCTCAACATATTCACAAAATTTCCCCAAACATTTGAATCAGTTTTACAAATATATGTGGATACACTCTGAAATGTAATTAAGACTTTTATTAAAGATTTTTATTTAATTAATAAACCTAATCCATTTTTATTCAGTTTATATAAAAGATTTTGGGTTTTTTTCTGAGAAACTATGTTCTGTCACAATGACAAGATAATATTGACACAACACTTCGGTCGGTTTGAGTTGAGATTTTTTTTTTTTTTTAACACTAACTGTTCAACAACTAATAAGACGAAACATTGCAGGTTGAATATGAGAAAATACCGATTTTTTTTTTATTGTGATTTTTTATTTTATTTTATATTTGTTTATATCTGTCGTTTACAATTTTTGGTCAACCAACCAAAATCTGATTAAGAGACAAAATATATAATTACAGTGATCGTCACTTCTCGGAAGGAGGCAATTCCTCGCTAGGTCACAAGACAAAACATCCATTCCACTGACACTCACGCCTATGGTCAGCTTTGTCCAGTGTCCATTTTACCCATTTCCCACTGTGAACAATTATTAACAGTTGGAGGTAACCTGAGAACCCAAAGAGAACCCCCCACACAAGGGGAGAAACATGCAAACTGCAACCAGAGTTCTCGCTGACAAGGCAAGGCCGCTTATCACATTTGCCATCATGTGGCCAACAAAAAAACAATGAAGTCATAAAAGTGCTGTCACAAAGTAAAAAAAAAAAAAAACCATAACCATTTTCTGGAAACTCAGCAGTTTTGCAATTACTTAGTGGGTTACAACCCCTCCCCAGTCCCCCCTTTTTTTATTAGAGCCACATGTTGAAGTACAGAGTGCAGGGCTTATTTAAAAATGTTGTAGATTATCAAGTATTGGTTCATCCTAAGTCAACTAAGTTGTATATTAAAAGTATACAAATGGCGTCGTAGTGTAATATAGCACTGATTTGGATTTTGTTTCTTTCTGACATTTCTCATGATCTGTTACAAAGCCTCCTCTCCCGGGAAGCCCCCCCCCCCCCCCCCCGCCC